GATCAGGTACAAGCTAGAAGTAGCGTCGTCCTTTACCCCTTTTAAATAACTATTTTAGAAAGTCAGCATATTGATAGGAATTGATGGTCATATTTACTCATTATTCATTTTAGTCTATAATCTAAATTGCTTCTTCAATAAACTCATAGTTAATCATTTACTGACTGCCACTTGCGTAATGTACTACTAAATGGTGATTCAGAACATACGTAGTAGTGCCATTGTCACGACACGATAGGTGTCTTGTTTATATTGTACATATTAAAATATACTATCCTAAGAACATATTGCTAAAAATTGGCAAATGTTGTAAGACTAAAGGAAGAGATATTACTATATTCGAAAAATCTGTCTATAAATAGCAAAATTTAGGAAAAAGACAATTTGGGAAAACTATAAAAACAAGAAGGGTATACAAAATAAGGTAGACCATTTTTAAACAGAGAAAAAAGAGGAAAGCGACGTTGTCTGAAGGAAACAAAATCCTTACCTTACCTAGAGAAAAAATGCAGCTCTACTTGTATTGCATTCAACCAGAATAAAAAGCGGCATGGTTATTCATAAAGTAACTAGCGCTATTGGTGCCACTTATCATTTATATGGTATTTATATAAGAACAATTGCACCTGAAGTAGAAGTGAAAGTAGGGACGTGGCATTGTCCCTCTTCTATATGGCATCAGAAGCACTAGCTCCAGTATCATCTTATATAATAGATGCAGCGAAGGTACTGTCCCGTTTGAAACCAGAACCCCGGACAGCACCTTCGGTATCACCTTCACCAACAGGTTTGGGTGTTGCTCTCTTGATAGCAGCAACCGAAACGCTATTTTTCAGCGTCACCTTCTGCATTACAATCCATGAGAATAAGTAAAAGAAACTCCCAGAGCCATCAATATAAGGCTAATCAAATACGTGCACATTTTTTGTTCTGCAGAATTATGAATGAAAATTAAAAAAGATGTGAAAATGTATTGTAATGAAGAAGGATGACTTTGATGGAATATAAATTCACAACGAAAATGTCCCATCTTTTTATACGCAAATCACATGTAGAAATTCAAATTTCATCTGATCATTGCTGAAAGAAAGCGCTAAAAATGACTCGATTGCAATATTTTGCTTCGAGAATAAATATGATTAAAACGTCCGCGTTGTCACTATTTATAATATCTAATCTGATATCTAATATCTAAGCTCATAATATATAATATATGATCTGTATGGACACGCGATGTGGAGTTGTACTATTTCATTTTGTTCGATGAACAATGTAGCCCAAAAACATACTCAATCGTTTCTGTGCTTACAACACCATCGTTTTAGTCAGCAAACATGAATACAGACACCCCTGATTAGGATAAAAAAAAAAAGAAGTAATATAAGGAAAAGCAAATTTGCTAATTACATCCAACATTGTCAGGAAAATGACACAGCTTACTCTCTTTTCTTGCAGAGGAAGTCCAAATCCTTGGAAAGTAGTCATCGCTTTGAAAGAATGAAACCTTTCATACAAAACAGTACTTTACGATGTTGGAAAAAATGAGCAAAAAAGCGAAGAACATCTTGATTACAACCCTAATGGTAGAGTTCCTACATTAATTGATCATCAAAACAATGGCTATGCGATTTGGGAGTCGGCTGCTATTTTGGCATACTTGACAGACAAGTTTGACAAGGAAAGAAAGATTTCTTTACCTCATGATCATCCAGACAGGGTGCCATTTGGGGACAAGCAGGCTGGTTGAACTTTTTTCATCCAGAACCTGTTGCGTCGGCCGTTACTAGATACAGAAACGAAACAAAGCGTGTGCTCGGTGTTTTAGAAAGAATTCTCCAAAACAAAGACTATCTCGTTACTGACAAGTACACGATCGCCGACATGTCTTTTATTAATTGGAACGATTTGCTACCTCCGCTTTTTGGAAAAGGAAGGCATGAATTCAAAGAAGATCTTCCACAATTGGATTTCGAAAAGGAGTTTTCCAAGACCTATGCTTGGCATCAAAGTCTTACGGAGCGTCCTGCTGTTGCTGCCATCCTGAAGGAATGGGAACAATCTCGTCAACAATAAGGCAGTTAGGAGGCATGCTTCATCAGCTATCCTTCTTTTTAATAGCAAGCATGTTTTTCAATACTCTAGTATTCCACATTATTCTAACAATATGATAACGTAAATTTACAACATATGGATATTAATGAATAGCTTTGTTTTACTTTTCGCTTTCGATATATAATGGGAGGGACGTAATTATCAAATGTATGGAAATGTGCATATTTTTAAGGGGGGTTCCACTAAAAACGGTTTAAGGAAATCCCAAGTGAGTTGACATAAACAAGCAGCGAATTTGTTATTAGTATGGGAGAAATCTCACACGTTCGAGTGGAAGTAATAAGTACAGTTACGGAATTGTATATTTATATTGAGCAACAAAGTACTATGTAAAAGAATAGTAATAGATCCAGGGAACTGATTAACTAAATGAAAGGATTTAGCCTGATCAGTCAAATCTTCCGATCTAAAGATTCTGAATGACAATGTGTTTCGAAAAGGATTGCAAGGAAGATAATATATCTTTACTATAGCATACTTAATTATCAACTAACATTTGCTCTTTATCGTCTCTTCCAAAAAGCATAATATTAAGGTTTCATTAAAAAATCATTTGCCAACCAGTTGACTTCACTACGAAAGCAAAATATAATTGTTACCACAGTTTGCTCGGTAGCTTAGCATAACTTTTTTCTATCTATGTAAAGCATTAAGAATCGAAAGGCAACATTGATTACCATACTACTCAAACCGATATATTAAATAGCCTTTCCACATGTCGTCATAAACACGAATTTCAGATCAAAGAAACGGGACGTCTCTTTTCTTCTGCTTTGAGATCAAATTGCAATTCCTTGCCATAATTTGCGAAGGTGTTATAACCATAGTTATTAGTAGCATAGAACAAAGAACGAATGTAAGGTGTAAGCTCAAGACCTCTCCTCAATCTTTCAATTAAATCTGGGTTTGATGTAAAATATCTCGAGAATCCAATCATAGTACGGTTGTCAACATTAACATCAGCCTTCAATAACTTAAACTCAGGACTGTCATAAGTATAATTACCACTATGCAAAATGGCTCCTTTCCATAATTTCTTGATAAAGTCGTTGGAACCAACAATGTCAGATGCGTTGACATCAAAAATTCCTTGGACCCTAGGTTCCACAAGGGAAAGATAAGCAAGCTGCTTACCATTGTTTGCACGCTTCTGAAGCTCATTTACAATATAACTAAATGTAGTAATAGGATGTACAGTATCTTGTTCAGCTTTCATTCCTTGGAATTTAGCCCAAGGAGACAATCTGATTGCAAGCTTTTCAGCGCCGATTGTGTCACTTAAGAGGTCAATAATTTCAAGAACGATTCTTGCGCGTTTTTCAATAGAGCCACCATAGTTATCTGTTCTTTGATTCGTAGCGGGCTGTAGGAATTGATCAAGCATGTATCCATGTGCACTATGAATTTCCACGTAATCAAATCCAGCTTCCATAGCATTGATTGCTGCATTCTTGTAATCTTCATAAATAATGCCCTTGATTTCTTCTTCAGTCAATGCTCTCACAGGATTGCCTGCAGCTTCTG